TCGCCCCCCTACCCCTTCTTCTCGGTAACAGTAAACCCTCGCCGGTCTCTTCCAAATTGAAGCCGTCCGCCTTCCTCGGCGGCCTTCGGGCTTAGCCGGCGGTTGCTGGCTCCCAATTGCTTGGTTCTCGCCCTTTTTTCTCTGCTCCGTCACCCGATTCCATGGCGAGGGTCCCCGTCCTCATCTGTTGCGGCAAGATCTCGTCTTTTCGGCGTCGGTCCGTCAATTCAGATGGGGAGGTTCTTAGTTGTGTGGTGGTAGAGCCGTTGTGCGGTTCTTGGGGCGGGACTCCGCTCATTTGCACGGCGACTGGTTCGCCTGGCGACAGGGGCGGGGTTGATACTCTCGGCCTTTCATCCTTGTCCTCGTTTTCCATGTCGATCGGGGTCGTCGCGACGATTCTTCTTCCGGTGATGCTGGTCGGGGTGTTGACGTGGTAGGGTGGTGGTCGTTTTGGTACCTTGCCGGCGATTTTGGGCCGGGGCTGCGGTCAGGGCATTCTTTTGGCCGTTTGGTTCAATTAGGTGCTGTGGCTGGGTGCAGGTTGGCTTGCTGTGGTTCCGGGGTTGGGGTTTCGTCTCCGTTAGGCACCCGAGGGGGTTTAGGCAGTTTCGGGGTCGATACTCATGGCTACAGGATCCGTGGTCGACTTGTTTCCGCTGGTTGGTTCGGTGTTGCTGCTCAGGAAGGGCTTGCTTAGTTTAGTTTGTGTTTTTTTAGTTTGTTTCTGTGCTTTTTCTGTTGTCTTTGTTAGTTTGGTTCTGTTGTGTTTTTGGTCTGGGCCGTTGGCCTCTGTTACCCGAGTGTCACTTTTATTCTCTTGTTGGGAGCCGACACTCGGTATTACCCTGTTGGGGTCTTTTCTAGTTGTTTATTGTGTTGTTTAGTTGGTTTTTTATTTTAGCGTTGCTAGCGGGATTCTAGGTAGGCTTCTGTCCTGTCCTCCCATTTTATTCTCCTGTTGGAAGCTTTGTACTTTTATTCGCACAGTTGTGCGCTTTTGATTTATAATAGTACTTTTCGGAAAAAAAAAATATTATATATGCTATAGCACCTGCGTAAATAATAATAAAATATAATATTAAAAACAAACATCATGCAATATTAAAAACAGCTCACTCATATGCAATTTTAATTATTATCAAGACTTGTAATAGATATGGATGATCTTCAGATGTGGACCTGCTAGTAATTCGTTCACATGACTCACTTTAGACCTTTCTGACATTCGGCCTCCGATCGACCTGATGCTGTCCTCCAGTATGGTACCCATATCAGTTGCAGTATTGTTCGATTATTTTTTCACTAGTTCGATCTTCGATTTTTGCGGCTCGGTACGGTTTTGTACGAATCGAACTCAAATGCATAGAATTGTGCAACTCAGTGAGTAGAAAATTTTTGATTTGGTTTCAAACTCATCAAATGATTTATTATTTTCCATTCATTCCCTTCAAACTTTTGAGATTTTAAGACAAAGGCACCAAGATCTTCCTTAACTTCCACACACCAAATCACAATAACAAAACAGAGGAAAAAACAGAGCCCATCCAAAACAGAGAAAAAACATGAGTAGATGCTGGCATCACAATATTTGTTTGTCCTTTTGGTCCCTTATTCAGGCATGATCCTCGGCAATCTCGACGAGGCACTTGCAGAGGGCATCTGGCTGTGTAAACATGGGCATGTGGTCGGCACCTTTGATCTCCTTCACCTCCTTAACCGGGTTGTTCTCTATCTGCCACTTCTGGAACTCGGGCGGTATCGTCTTGTCGTTGGCCGCTATCACATAAACCCGCGGCACGGAACCGAACTTCTCGTCCGAGAACTTGTCCATCGTTGCTAGATCCTCCATGAATAGTGATCCGGGCCTCACCGAAAGGTGGCCCAACACTTGATCCTGCAAATCGCGCAACAAATGCCGTCAATCTTTTCGAATAATGAAGTAAGCTAGTGTTTAGTGTGTGTTTGTGTTGTGTTTTTAGATTTTATTATTCTCGATTATTAGAGTTAGAATTCTCTGAGTTGTGGGAGATTAGATTACTACTATTGTAGTTTGTGTGGGTGCATTTAGTTTAGTTGATTCTAGGCTACATGCGTTCTCGTTGTGTATGTCTCTCTGAATTTCGCTGTATAATTGTTTCAATCGGCTAGTTTGTCGCTTGAAAATATGTATTTTATTAATATTATTTGCCGTTCCGGGAAAAAAGAAACAACACGGAGAGTAATTATTGTTTTGTTACCTCGATCGGGGACAAGTTATAGAGAAACTCAGATATGAACTTGGGCCCCACCACTAATGCCGTGATCGGGGGCTCGCCGTAGGTCGGGAATTGGGTGTCCATCCATGCTTCTGGTGGAGTCCTCGCGAGGTACTTTTCAAGAAATCGTAAAAGTATGAGATAATAACGATCGACGCAATTATAAGTAGTATATATATAAAAAAAAAGACCTCGTCAATGACGTAAGACGGGCGGTTCTTGGAGTCGGGCATGAGCGCATTCAAGAAGACGGCCACCGAGATCTTCTCCGGGTGCTTCTCCATGCCGTAGGCCGCTGCGTAGCCACCGCCGCTATGCCCGATGAGAATGACCTTTTCGCCCTCGGGGACAGCGGCCAGGA